TATCATTTTATTAGTGTTGAATCTAAAGAGTTATTTTAATTAGTTATAACATGTATTCTGAATAGGATGTCTTAAGACACTTAGTTATTCAAATTCACTTCTAAAATATTCATTAAAAAAGTAGCGAATAACGTTCCAAAAAAACTGTGCAATAATTATTAAAGGTCTTCGATGCTTAACATAACAGCTTGTAAAGGTTTGTAAAGAAAAACGTAGTTTTAATTCGTTTTTTTTGTAATTTATATTTTGATCATTGAAAATATTATTAAAGTTTTCATTTTTGGTTATACTATATATAATGAGTGTGATATTTGTAAATAAAATTAAAACCTTTAAAGTAATATATGCACATTAGGCATAACCTGATTGAAAATGTCTTATAGGATATAGAATATCAGAAACAAAGATTCTTTAATAATATTTTGTTATATTTATTAATGTTTTATATAAAATTTATTATAAATGATTTCAAAAAAAAAAAAAAAAAAAAAAAAAAAAAATAATTTGATCAATTTTCAAAGTTTCCTAAAATTTTGGTATTATTTTATAAAATTTAGATATCTGTGTCTCAAATTTTATCTCGATTTGAGTTAGACTAATTCGATCATGAGAATTCAATAGCCAATAGAATGCAGTGCACGAAATTGAAATTTTGATTTTGAAAAGGTCGTCTGAAGTTGGATTTTAAATGATTAAAATTGAGATTAAACCCTTTTTTTTGTTATCTGAATTCCAATCTCAGTTATGGTCATACTTCGTTTTGTATAATTTTGGGGTTTTATGGATTAACTATAGGTTCTATATTGATTGGCGTAACATTGTCATCATTTATTTTCTTATTTTCACTGTTTGCCTGCAAAAACAAAAAAAATTACCTAAGGAACAAATATCAATGAGTGTATTACTTTTAGAGGCATTTTCCTTACATGGTTAGCAACAATAAGCCTAATAATTAATAGTTATTGTGCAGTATGCAAATTTATTTTGCAATTTATGATTTTAATAAAATGGTTATCAAATCATCAAAATTTTGTTCGTTATACCTTAACAAATAATTACAAAAATGCATTTCAACAGAAAATAGTTTTTCGATATACCAAATATGTCGCCAACTTTTTTGGAGAATTCCTTTGACTGTATCGAAGAGCAGCAGATATTGGAAATAATATACAAAATAATCTTGCATTTTTATATTACAGGGAAAAAGGAACTGAAAGAGAAGAAAATAATGATAAGATGCAATTAGTCTTTGAACATTATATAAATAAGGAGAAAAATCATGTAAAGAATTTTATTAACTGGATTTAGTGCTTGTAGTTAGTAAAAATTATTGAATGTAAACCAGTGTATAATTTGTATTTTTTCGGAAAAATCAAGATATATTTATAATATAGCAGCGTACTTTTATCTCATTAAATTCAAATCGTATTTTAACGTATGTTAAACTTAAACCATGCGTTTCTTACTATAAAAATAAATTAAAAAGCATCCTGTCAAGTTATCCTCTAGATTAATTAATTTTAAAGTTTTACTTTTTTTAAAAGTATTGAGATATGCAAAGTAAAAATTTTCGTCGGTTAATTTTAAATATTTGTATTACATCATTCTTTTTTTATTTATTTATGGATATATTCATAGAGAATACGTGATTTTAGAGAATGACCGTTAAATAAAAACTAAATAATAGTTCATTTGAACTTATACTGACATAATTTATAGAACAATTTGCTTGCCGCATTCTTAAGGATAATTAATCTTTCATAGATGATAATCGACCAATCAGAATAAAATTTACCTCCTTATAGTCATATTTGATAAATACAATGATGACGTGTAATTAAGCTTTATTAAACTTTCTTTTTAGAAATGATTCTAATATTTCCTTTAAAACATTCACTGTAAAATAAAATTTAACCAAAAAAATGAGCGAAATTCAAAACTTTGATATACAAGTTGAACCAGATATTTCAAACGTTCTTCAAAATACATTCGAATCTCAAGTTCCTGATGAAAATGAAGAAGTGAGTCAAAAGGAATTTGTGACTTCTTTTAATGACTTGGCCGTATATAACATTGGTATGTTGTTCTATTCTATTGCGTTTGTTAAGTTGACAACTCACTATAATATCTTATATAGGAAAAAAGGTCTTGATACGTGGTTTGGTTTCTCATGTTACTGGGATAAAGTTATGTACGTCTAAAATCAACTTCAAATGTATCGAATGCCAAGAAATTCAAACGCTGTGTTACAATAATGGAGGAAGGTATTATTTTCCATCTAAATGTAAAATTCCCGGATGTAAGAGTAAAAAGTTTACTCCTATAATGGAATTTGGTGAAAACGAAGAAGCTGCTTCTTTTACTGATTTGAGTAAATTTAGGTAGGAAAAAAAAGGTCTGCATTTTGTAAGTAAAATTGTATTTATAAATTAATACTTAAATTTATCTCCTGCAGAATGCAAGAAATGTGGAGTGATGATTATAATGAAGAAAATCTTCCCAAAGTTATCGATTGTGAATCTCGTAATAATTTGATAGATAAAATCAAACCAGGTGATTTTGTATCCATCGAAGGCAAAATTCAAGTTTATGATATTAAAATTCTTGGTAAAGTATTCCATTTATTCATTCCCGTATAACAATGTTAACGCCTCAAAGATAAAGATTTATGTTATTTTTTTTGTTTAGAAACTAAAAGCAAGTCACATTACGGTAGCTCAACTTTACCTCACCTTTACATTGAAATCACAGATATAAAGAAATTGTCGATCTCTGATTTATATATTGAAAGCGAACTCGATGATATTACTACGTCAGCAAAGGAAAACTCGTTTTCGTTAAGAGATCTGTATTCCATTAGACAAGTCACCGCTACATATAATCTTTTCAAAGTATCTTTAAACTTATTTTTTTTTTTAAAAAAAAATCTCATTTCTTAATTAAAAACTTATTTATTCTAATATTTATCTAGCGAATTGTTGCTTCGTTTTGTCCTTCGATTTATAGACACGAACTAGTTAAAGGTATAATATAATGATCTGTCTTGCACTCCATGGATTTAAATTTATGGTCTAAAATCTGAAATCATTTTGTTACCAGCCGGAATATTGCTTTCGTTGTTTGGAAAAAATGATAACGGGGCAATTCACATTCTTATAGTCGGTTAGCTACCAGTTAATATTTCTTAATTTTTGTTTCTGCAATTTTTATTTATTCCAACTTAATAGGTGATCCGGGATCAGATAAAACAGAATTACTTTCGGCAACTAGCTCCATATCACCAAACACAGTATTTACACCAATAAATCGAGGCGATGAATCTTCAATTTTACCTACTTTACAACACGACAGATATTTCAAAGAATGGACCCTCAAAGCTGGTATTAAATTACATTACTTGTAAAGTTTTTATTACAAAATTAATATCAATTCTAAACATTAATTTTTAGGTTCTTTGGCATTGAGTAATGAAGGGATTTGTCGAATTGATGACTTTGAAAAATGTGGCAGATTCAATGCTCTTGCCGAAGCTATAACTAGAAAATCATATCCGTAGGTTGAATCATGCTCATTTTCCATAATTATTAAGTTACAATTAAACACGATATATTTTAATATAAAGAATTGGAAAGTATGGAATTAAATGTTCGCTCAAAACTCAAACGAGTATAATGTAAGCTATGTAAGCTATTGATCTTGAATAACTATTCAAAAAATATAAAAAATTTAATTGTTCTTTCCATTATAGAGCAGCGGCCAATCCGGTCAATGGGCGTGGGCGCTACAAGTAACTACAATATTAAAGTTCGAACTTTTAAAAGATCAAACTAAACCTTCAGAATTTAACTTTTATGTTAGCAAGGACAAAACATTATCCAAGAACCTGAAAATAAGCAATAATATGTTATCTACCTTTGACCTTATTTTCTTATTACTTGATATTCCAGATGAAGAGATGGATAATTACCGTGCAGAGCGTGTTATTTCGGTTTGTATATAATTTATTATAAACAAAAAAAAAAAAATTTTTTTTATTAAAATGACTATATTTTTAGGCAAATCCTGAACTATTTCTTGTAGACATATCACAAAGTCATGGTAAATTAGTCCTTCATTGTGATATATATCAATGTTTTTTATTCCGACTACTAGTACATCATGTATTATTATAATTCACGACAGATATTTCGTCGTCCGATCTATTTCCTTTAGAGTTTCTTCAAAAATATATTGCTTACGCTCATAGATATGTTTATCCGCGGTACGTAATTGTTTTTATAACACATCATAACGATCAACGTAAATGTAATATAATAATTTTTATTCTAGCTTATCAGAGGAAGCTCGTAAAATTCTTAAACTCTCTTATATTAAGATGAAACAAAAATACCTTTCTATGGATCAAACGTCCATTACTATTCGCCAATTAGAAACAATGATAAAATTGGCTCAAGCGCGAGCAAGAATGGAACTGCGAGATTTAGTCCTATGCTCAGATGTCGAAGATGTTGTTGAAATCATGTAATAACCAATTTTATTTATTTTATTTTATTATTTTGATTTGTTAACGTTAATTATTATTTAAAATTAGGGAATCCTGTTTATTTAAAATTAAAAAAGATTCACTTGGAAATACTAGATCGAAAAAAGGTAATGTGACAATTTTGTTACCTTTTTATCATATTTACTTACAAATAAGTTAAAACTAAGGTTGTGGGAAATTTGGAAAGCAAGTCGAAGTGAAAAGGTAAAGATTAATAATTATTTATTTTAACATGAAAGACTGGACTACTAAAAAAGTCTATCATTTTGATAGATTCATAGGAGAATTAAAAAGACAAGGAAATTCTAAAGGAAGTGATCTATTTTCTATTCAAGAAATGCGAAAAATCGCGACAGAAAATAATATTCAATTTGATAATTTTCAAGGTTTTATCGATTATATTAATGAGCAGAATTTACTCCTTAAGAAGGGACCGGGAACATTTCAATTGAGGTCATAAGTTCGATCACAAAATGACTTAGTTATTTTTTTTGCACTTACAAAATTTTTAGTGCAATAAATACAATTTTATTACAATCAGAGTTTGCGGTTGCGGGGCCTCTTGGCAATTGGTAATAAATGAAAATGTAAAATTGGCACTTATTCCAGAGTATCTTTAAAAAGCCGAATTGTAGTCCATTTTACAAAATTAAATATTTATAAATTTTTTTTAAAAAAAAAAAAATACTAAAATTGATGTTTATTGTTAATATCTTTTATGCAATTAATTAAATTTTTTTGAGATGAAAGATCAAAAATTTTTATAAACTGAAATTTTATATTGCATATTTCAATTCCACTGGATGTTTTATTTTTAATATTTTGATATATTATTCAAAAATTTATTATCCAATCATAGATAATTCGGAGTTGAATGAAAATCTTGATCTTTATAAGTTAATTTTTATAATCGAAATCCTTATTTTGCCAAATGAATTATAGTTAAACTGTAGTTTCTTATTAAATACTTGATATTTTTATTATATTGATTTTTTTTAATTTCCTTAGTTCTTTATGAATTCATTAAACATAATATTTTATATTCAGTTCTTTCGTTTATGTATTTATAAACAATTTTATTTGTAAGCGGAAGAATTTATTTGAATAAAAATGAAGTAATTGTGACAAAATATTTAATTAATAATATAAATTATTAGTGTTGCCTCAACGTCGGCCTCTACGCTTTCGCAATGTCAATATATTAAGCAGAATAAATGCTAATCACCGACAATAACGAAAAATAATAAAATATAAAGTTACAAATTAGAAAATTATAATGTTAAAACAGCGTAAGAGAGGAAAAGGAAAGTTTAAGGTGTGTATATGCAATGTAAGAAGGGCGAGCGTGGCATGTTGAATTTCCAACTCATATTTATAAAAAAAAAAAAATAATTAGGACGGCCTGTCGTATCGTCAAAAATGATCTAAACAGAATTAATTATATTTTAGATTCCACGACATGGATTAAGATGTGATAAAAACAAGTAATTGATAATAAAAAGTTTCCTTACCTTTTTACTTCCAAAATGATCGCGTCCACGAGAGATGAGGAACCTCAAAAGCATATATATATATGTATATAAAAAAAAAAAAATTAAAATCCTGAAAATATGGAAAAAAAAAATATTCCAATCGCTGCACCGAAGCAATCGAGCTTGAAAAAGTAACGAACAAAATTCCAAAAGATAATAGTGGTTCACATTCAAAAAAATCGCTGTACCATAAAAAAATCGATTCTACTTTCTTGAATCAATTCCAAGTCTTAAATGAAGATAAAAAAACAAATCCTAACAATTTTCTTTTTAATCACATACACGAAACATTAGTTTTCGTTATGAACGATTTATTTAAACCGTTTAATTATTGATTTCTATCATTTTTGTTATTATTATTTCCTTAAAATCGTAAGTGAACGGTATTTAAAACTGACATTTTAAGTTTGGAGAATAAAAAGAAAATGGAGAGTTAGAAAAAAATTAAATTTAAATTGTTTAATATAAAAAAAGAAAATACTTTGAATTTTCATTCTACAATATAATAAATGCTTTTTAAATACAATGAGAAATATTATTTTTTTCTAGCATAACAATCCCAAAAATTTATTCTTATTTTCCAAACATAGAATTATTATAATCACTAAATCGATTGCTTAATAAAATATTGATAACGCGCGAAAAGTTGGTATAGGAGGCCATGATATCAAGTCACGAATTCTTTTTATATTGTCAATAGAATAATTTTATATAAATAATTGCAAGTGTGCTATGCCTTTTATAAAGACAAAAGGTTAATTTTATAATTATAAAGATGATGATAATACTATAATATAATTACTAAGTTAATAACGTTTGTTTTCTTAGAACAATTATTCCAAATCTGCAGATTTCCTAATTTCAAACCCAATAGGAATATTATGATATAATTATTCAATAAACTTAAAATTTATTATAGGAGATTTCATTTGACAAGGTTTAATTTATATTCAGAATTCAGATTACTGACGTCTATTATTAAATATAAATTGATGTTAATTTATATTTTAAAATGCAAATGTAAATATAATAATTTACCCTTGAGCTAGGAATTTCTAAATCTACCAATTTGGAATCTTTAAATTTATTAAAATTAATATTTAACACTTGTACAATTATCAAAATATAAAAATGAAACATATAATACCTTTAATATTCTCTTCCTTTTCAAGATATGAAGTAATAAGAGATGAATTAATAGGTTTAATTAGATTTTGTAATGCATATACTCTACTCGTATATACTGCATCTGGATTTAATTTACATGAAATTGTCATTTTTAGTATCTTTTTATCTGCTTCTTCAAATGCATCCTTTATTTCTTTCTCGTTATACTCGTAATTAGAAATAATCATATGCCAAACATTCAATTTATGAAGCAAATCTTTGGCAGTCGGCCTTTGATTAGGATTCGCATTCATACATCTATACGCTAATTTCTTATAAAATTCAGGAGTTCCCTTTCCAAATTCTGGGCGAAGCCCATTACAAATATCTAAGGCTAATGTTAAGTCATGCTTTCTATTATAAAATGTTGGGTATCCAGATGACAATTCAGCCATAATTATACCAAAACTGTAGATATCCGAAGCTAAAGTATATGATTCACCATTCAAGACTTCTGGAGCAATATATGGCAAAACGCCACATATTTTGTCGTCTGACTTTTTCTTATCTTCTTTTCTTGATAATCCAAAATCTGAAATAAATGATGTATAACCCTTTATGAAGCCTTTAATTAGCAAGATGTTTCCGCTATGAAAATCTTTATGACAATATCCTAACCTATGTAAACTTTTAAGGTCAGTCATTATGTTTATTAACATATAAATTTTATCTTCCCATAATATGGTATTAAAATTATTTGAAAGAAAATTTCTTAAATTTCCCATATTTGCAAATTGCATGATCATAATAAATTCTTTAGTTTCCGGATCCCTAGTTATTCCATAAAATCCTAGTGACAAACTAACTTTTTTGTTTAAATTCCAATGTGCTTTAAACTAGTTTGTTTTTTGCAATAAACATTAAGCAAATTAGAAATATTCTCAGTTAATAAAAAGATATAAATGTAAATGTAAAATATACTTCAGCTGACATATCTTGCATTCCGTTTATTCTCTTTAAAGCAACCTTCATGGGTTTAGGATCTAATTTTTTCCAACCTCCATTATGCTTTTTAAATATAGTTTTACCATCGATCCATGTTGCAGAAAACACTTTTGCAAATCCTCCTTCACTAATTTCTTTTATATCTGTGAATTGATCAAAGGGCACCCATTCAAGAAATCCTTGATATTCTTTATGTCTTGCTTCATACATTGTATCTTTAATGAATTTATCGATATCTGAATTTCCACTAGTCCATCCTTCAATTATACACCAAGGATCACATTTTTTACACCAATATTTCTCAACAAATGATTTATTGCAATATGAACAATTATCATTAACCGAGACCTTTAAATATTCAGAATCTAATTCTAATAGAACTTGAGTATTCATTTCTTTTTGTTAAAACAAAAAAAGAATTTGGTTATGTTAAAAAGTATAAATAAACTACTTTTAAATAAACGAGATAATATAAAAGGAATTTAGTACCCAAATGCGTTGATATCCGAAATGCGCATTTGGGATATCCCAAATAGGAATACGCAATTGGGATATCCCAAATGTGAAGATCGTTGGGATATTCGCTTGCCCATAATGCGCATTTATCCATAAATTAATGGTATTTAATAATATTTATATTTATAAAACTTTATTTTCATTTAGTTTGTAAATAAAAATGTAACAAACTTTACATTGGCATTTGGATATCCGAAATGTGCATTTGAGATATTATCCGAAACGTGCATTTGGAATATTGTCCGAAATGCGCATTTGGGATATCCGAAATATGCATTTGGGATAAATGCGCATATGGGCAAGCGACTATCCCAAACGATCTTCGCAATTGGGATATCCCAATTGCGCATTCCGATTTAAGATATCAAATGCGCATTTCGGACATTAACGCATTTGGGGTACAACACATGACTCGCGGTGATAACGTAATCGTATACTGCGGTAATTATTAAACTTGCTAATCCTTCTAATTTACTTTCTTTTCCTTGGCTTTTGTAGATTGTTCTCTAATGTCCAAAACTTTTCAGTTCATTGATGATTAAAATATCATTTGCACGATTTCGTATTGATTATAGTTACAGGCGATCCCTAAACCCATTTTGGCAAAAGTCGAAACTTTTCGGAATTTATTTCGACAGTTTCGATAACAACTTTCGGAAATTCGAAGGGTTTTAACAGGTTTATTGTATTATAATGTAGAATATAAAAACGAATTTTTTTATTTGCTTTATTTTAAATTAAGGGTTCCAAAATAATACATTATTTATCGAGCAGGTTTAAAACAATTAGAAGAATAACCTAATGAAAATGATGATAGAGGTTGGAATCGGGTTTATTTTTTATATCCGGATTTGTTTAATTTTAAACTTTCGCAATTTTGTCTTTAATAAAATTATTTGGTAAAACGTTTCGACAGGTTTTGATTTCGATGTCTGTCGAAACCTCCGGATTTTGCTGAACTTTAGTATTGAAAAATATTTATTATGAATAAAATATGCGTTTTCATCATCACATCAATAATTTAGTATATTTGATATAAATTCACTAATTATCCATTATAGTACGAACTATTATAATTTGTTTAGTCTACCGTTGGATGTAATTAACAAAAGAATAACGTGTAGATTTTAAAATAGAAAACTAAACTTTGAAAATTCACTTATTTATTTGATAGAACACACATCATTGGAGAATGACTGTAAGACATATTTGCGAACCACTCTCCAATTAAAAAATAAAAACAACATCGCATCGTAACAATATCTAATAACTCACAATAGGAATTTCAATCATAAAATGCTAGCTTATAGACATGTCTATTGCGTAATTAGTAATATCACAGAGACAATACACAACAAAGCTTACTTTGTTTGTACTTTAAGAAAGTAACAAGAAAAAAAAATGCCACTTTAGACCGACTAAAATAAATATTGATATTTCTTTGAAAAAATAAAAAATAAGAAATTTGTTTGAAAAATTTTTAGTAATATAATGAGAAAAGTAGTAAATCAATCCTTACATTTTTAATGGAAGTAGTAATGAACTATATATAATGTGATGAATTCTTTAAAAAAGGATTTATATATACCGTACAAGGATAAAAACCTAAACACGAAGTCTGAGTATAATTGCTCGAGCCATGACTTTCAGCAGAAATTCTCGTGAATCCAATATTTTATAATTCAGTTTATTAACATTATGTTACAGTTCTAAAATAAGTAATTCATTCTAAAAATAATACTAGGGAATTGAGACCTTTGTTAAGTCCGGAACGATCTTAACTAAAAAAAAAAATATTGCAAAAGCCAATAAGCATCGACTCAATTATTGAGCGGGCGGACATCCGGACATCTTGAGTCATATTACGTAGAAATATATAGTTCTACGCGAACGCTCCGGAATAATAAAGATTTTCTTTATCAAAAATGATCTGTTAACTAATAATGAACTTGCTGTTATTATAAAATCCCAAGAGAGAAATGTCAAGTATTTTAAAGAATTGTATTATCCAGACTTGATGATCGAGAGAATAAATATATGACAATGACAAAGAGAAACAACAATAAGTTTTAATTGAAAGGATTCTCTTGTATATTAAAAAATAATATAAAGGTGTAATAAAAAAAAATCTTACATTTCAACAGTAAATAATAAAATCTTTTTGATTTACATTATTTAAGAAGTAATATAAATATCCATTTTCTTTATTGTAAATCGATGATAATGCTAAGCAAATAATATAAGTTATTTTGAAAAATAAAAAACGAAAAAACCATTTTCCATTTTTTTTCATGTATAATTAAAATGTTACCAGGCCTAATAAATATTCACACGATCAAATATATTAAAAGTTTGCAGTTATCTTTTCTTACTTTATAAAAGAAACAAAGAAGCGGACAAGATTTTGAGCACACTTTTCCCATCGTAACTTATACTTCCAATATAAAATTATGACCAAGCTAAATGATTTTTTTCCTAGCCCGTTCACAAAAAAAAAATTTTGATAATGAACCGCGCGCACCTTTAATATACTTGCACAGATTTTAGCGAGAGACTATCTTTTAAAAAACTTTGCTCATGCCATACCTGATATCTGGATTTCAGCCCCACACAATAATCTCGATCTCTTAATTTCTTTGACTATTTCGCTATTGCGAGTTTTTTACTATTAAAGGTGGAGTTCTTAAAATCAAAGTAAGGTTGCAGGACCATTAGCTTAATTCATATGATAGATTGATTATTATGCTGGCTGCTTAAATTTCTGATTGTTAGTAATAAATAAAGCTACTTTATTTTTACATTAAATAACTAACTTAGCCTTTATGTCAAAATCGAGTCAAACGATGAAACTTACTAGGAATTTTCAGGTCATGTAGTTATCTGCCGATCCTAAAAATCCACCCTTCATTTATCCACCAAGTTTCTAATCCACGTGATTCGTTAATTTTAGTCCGTAATTTAAATGAGAAAGTCCTTAACGTGAAGCAATCGAATCTGTAAAAAAAAGAAACTTAATTTTTAAAAACACTTAATTAACATACTATAATAAAGGAGGATCGGTATTATGGTAAAAAAAATATTTAGTGATTTTGTTAGTGTAAACCGGATTTCTGGGCCTTGAGCAACAAAAAATTTCCTTTTCCTCAAAAAATTCTCCTTTTTAGGCAATTCTTGTAACGCCAACGACCGGCCATTATTATATACTTTATTATATTTAATACTAATATTGACACTAACACTAACACTAACACTAACACTAACACTAAAGGGTAGACTATAAGGTAATGGTAAAGGTACAGGAGGAATCTACCTCAAGGAATAAAAGTTGTTTAAATATTTTTTTTTAAAAAAAAAAGATTTGGTCTGTAACGGTGCATAGTCAGGTGCATAATAAAATTGTTTTTATTGATGGTTTTTTTCTAATATTATGTAATGTTTATTCCTATTGTTAATTATTTACTTAATTAATAATTAATTAATCAGTTCATAATTATTGATTAATAATTTTATTTATTTTTTTGTTGGTTTATTATTTTATAGGTTAGATCGGTAGATTCTCCACTTTGGTTTGTCATAGCGATGCAGTAAGATGGGTAACTTTTTTATTATTTTACTTATTTTTTTTTTGATTATTAATAAAATCTAATAGATTTTTTTAATTTTGGTTAGGACTTATTCCGCACTTTCGGATGTGACACCCTACAGCTATTCACAGTGACGCAGTCAGGTGCGTGACAAAATTTTCTTTTATTATTATTTTTATTGTTTATAATTTTTACTAGCAATTAAGCTAGGATAATGCTTCAGGTTTCAAAAATAATAAATCTCCAGTATATTTAAAATCGCAATTGTTATTATTAATAATTAAGAAAAAAAGGTAAAAAAATCAAATTATTAAATCAAATAAGAATAAATAAAATTAAAATTAAATAAAATAAAATTAATAAATTAAATAGAAATTAATAAAAAAAAATTAAACGGAAGAAGGGAAGACGAATAAAAAAATAAAAAAATAAAAATATAAATCTAAAAAAATAAAGAAAATTAATAAAAAAAAATAGAGGAACTAATAAAAATATTTAAAAAATATATATATAAAACTAAATAGAAAAAAAAAATTATTTAGACGAATAAAAGTATAAAAACTAAATAGAAAAACAATAAAATTAATAAAAAAATTAAACCAGGAAGAGGGAGGCGAATAGAAAAAATATATAAAATTAATAATCACTTTTTTTCGATTAGAACGGATTCTGCCCTTTTAGATGAATGTGAGCACAGCATTTTAAATAGACCTTCAGCTCATTGCGATAACACAGTCAGATGCATGATGCTCGATCCTTTTTTTACATTGATTGGGATTACTAATCCCATTTTTTCCTTTTTTTATTAAATTTTTTTCTATTCTCTCTAGGACGATTTCTTTAAATTCAGATTGATCAGTTTATTATAGCGGTATAGTCAGATGCATGATGAAATTTTCTTTTTATTATTGTTTTATTATTTCACTCGTTTATATATTGTAAAAAAATAAGCCTAACTTTTTAATCACTAATTTAATTAATTAAATAAAAAGACAAAATAATTAGTAATCTAAAAAAGCCTGATTGATCTAATCGAAATCTGAATCTAACCTAAAAATTGTCAAGAAAAAAAATAAAAATGTGAAATAATACAAAAAAAAAACTAAAAAAGAAAAAAAGGCAAATCACTTATCCTCATTGTGACAGATCGATCATTGAAATTTGAATTAAAGCTAAAATTGTCTAGAGAAAAAAGTGAAGAAACTTAAAGTTAGTAATATAAATAATGCAAAAACATAAATAAAAAAAGAATCATCAACTATCGACACATCGACAGAATGATTGAATTGACCG